GAGTGGTATCTATTTATATTTAAGATCAATAAAAATATGAAACTTTTTTATTTATTGTTGCTTATATTCATAATCAGATGAAGTACTTATAGAATCATAATTACTAGGGTTAGCTTAGTGGTTGGGTGGAAAAGTATTAAGTAGTTAGAAGTTAGAAATATGAAGACCTAGATTTAATCCTTATTGTGATCATCTTTATAATCTTTTCTATCTTTACAAAAAAAAATTGAAGTATTTATATTAAATTGTCCAAACATTTAATATAAATATTAAGTATTAAGTAGTTACACTTATAAAGTGAAACAATTGAGGAAAATTTCGTTAATACTTAATTGAATTTGGCATGTCATTTTCTATGGGAATACTTTGGTATATCAAGGGTGGGTAAGAATATTTTTTTAGAGGTTGTTCAAGAAAATTTCTAATTAATATAGGTTTAGTTTGGATAAATTCCTTAAAAAAATACTTTTAGAAAGGAGAAAAGAAATAAACTTTTTTATAAATTAAAATTAGCTAATACAGAAATTAATTTATGAAAGTTATTTCATATATAGTTTTTAAAAAAAAAACTATAAACTAAGTTGTACATAAAATAATTTCATTTCAAAGTGATATTTACACAAAATGATTATATTTAATTGCAATTAATTGTACTCGTTAAATTTTGAAAGATAATTATTATGTCATTTAATTGAGTTATTAAAAAATATCACTACAAGAAAATTATCGTAAAATGACATATCCTATAGTGATACAGTATGTGTCACTAAAAACTACTTTTACCTACTCAATAACTATAATATATATTGGTATATTATTAAAAAAATGTTAGTATAAACTATAGTGACACACAAAATATGTTATTATATATCTAATTCAAAATCAACATTAAAACTCTGTGTAACTATATGTTAAATAGATATATACCTACATATATTATATTTATAGTGACACTTTTTGTATGTCATGGTATCTAATATTTCTTATAGTGTATTATTTTTAAATTTGTTAAAGTCATCGGACCAATAATAGTAATTTTATATTTTAAAGAGATAAAAATCAAAAGAAAAATATTTTATAGGACCAAAATCAAAACTTACACATTTTACAAGCACCAAAAATATATTACAAAGACTAAAACTAATGTTTGCAAAATTATAGAAAAATAAAAAAAAAATTCAAAAACCAAAATTGAAACTCACTTATTTTATAGAAACTGAAAATATATTTAAAATTTAATTATATTAGAAAAACAAAAAAAAATAATGTTTACAAATTAAAAAAAATGAAAAATAAAAAATAAGAGCTAAAATTAAAATTCACTTATTTTATAAACACTAAAAATATATTTAAAATTTAATTATATTATTATTTACATAAAGAAATTCGTGCATAACACGACTACAGTCTACAGTAACTAGTATTTTATAAAATCGTTTAGGTGTGCGTATTTCTTTTAAAGTTACTTTTCTCAATTAAGCTTGATAGCCTTCTTCCAATTTGGTTCTTAAAAGTTTCTTTTGCGATTAAGTCGTTATTCTTATACATCTTTCCTTCCAATATCTTTATGAAATATTCATTCTTCTCCCATTACGGTCTTAATAGATCAAGAATACAAACCTTAACAATCAAATCAAATGCATGGTCAAAATAGATATGACTAAAATACGATAAATTTTAGCTTAGTGACTTTATTCAATAAAAAAATATATATAAATTATCGACGGATACAAATTTATCAAAAAATTTATATTTACGATATATTTTATTGATGAAAAAAAATTATAAGAAAAGTTATATTATTGACCGATAATTTTCGACGAATACAAATCTGTCAAAAAATTTATATTTCTAACAAATTTTACCGACGGATAATTTGCAACAGATACAAATCTGTCAAAAAATTTATATATATCAAATAGCTCAGTATTTTCATGGTGTTACACCAAATATGGTTTTAATCAGAGGTGCTTTGTCTTACTTACATCAAATGCAAAATTGGTGACATTGGATGTGAGGAGAGAGATTTGTCTTGGATTCAAATGACGTCGACCGTGGTTTGAATTGCATTGAGCATGAAGTGGGAGAATTGACTCTACTTGGATTGGTGCATGGTGCTAAAGGAGTGACGTCTATCATGAGGAGAAAGACTCATTTTTGTCTAGTTTGGAGATGGCCATGGGACTTTGCCACGCCAAGCATGAGAGTCTAAGAGTTCTCTACCATAGCTACACTAAACAAAGATTGAATGGTGTCGAGCATGAGCGAAGCAAAGTGCTCCCTACCTCAATGGTGTTGAGCATAAGTTTCTTTGGAAATTCTTGTTATTTATATGATAAAATGGTGAACATTAATAGGTTAGGTGAATCCATTGCATGTTATATGTTGATTGATGATAATTGTGCTATGTATATTGATATGAAATAATATATATATATATATATATATATATATATATATATATATATCGTTATATGGTTAAATTTGTTTATATGCTTTGGTATGTTGTGATTTGATTACTATTGTTCAATTTATATTCATTGAGCAATCTATGTAGATGTATGTTGTTGATGTGTTGATATTGAGAGTGTTATAGACATTTAAGCATGTTGATTGACTTAGGAGGGAAATGTTATTTTCGAAAATGGGTAACTCATCGTGTGAATATTGGTGTGGTGCTTAGTGAGTCCAATTGTTGAAAAATCCCCTTGAGTAGGTGTTATCCCTTAGAGTAGATTGTTGAATCTCCTTTATGACCTTTGATGCGATATGTGAGTAAGGTTGAGGCATATTGGCTACAAGTGAACAATATTGATATATATGTGAGTGAAGTTGAGACATACAAAATATAAAGTGACTAATTAAATAAAGTATGAAGTTAGGGACCTAGTCCCTAATTGAGTATTAGAGGGACATAGTATTTGAAGGATAATTGGTGGACTAATTCTATAAGGGATTTAGTATTATAAGTTAATGTTGTAGTAGACTTATACCTAACTATTTTATCCTAAAATGAATGTTATATACTTGTTTAGTGTTTTAGATGTTGATGCAATTTTTTGTGTATGTATGTATATATTATTGTTGGTATATCTAGAAACTATTTATATGATAACCTTAGGTAGTAGTTGTTTCAGCTATTAATTGTACATTCAGCTAAGTGTGAGGATCATAACGAATTATTAGAAAAATACTCCTATTTAAAGTGTATTATGTTAATTTGGTAAATATGTATTAATTATGAACTTTTTTAAAAACTATATAGTTCAATCGGTTAAGAAAAAGAATAATATTAATTAGAAGAGAGAAACAGAGTATGACATCTTGACATATATTTTAATTGATTTAAAAATATATGAATATTAATTTTAAAAAAATAGTATAAAAATAATTTTAGAAAAAAAATATATAAATAAAATAAAATGTTATGTTATCAACTTTTTTAATATTAATAAAATAGGTAAATAAATTTTTTATATGGAAACGAAGGTATAGTAAAATATAGATTTTCATTTCCATCAACATGTAGAAAATTTGACAATTGTGATAGTACTTTTCTTCGAGTAATAATATGTACATAAATTATGTTAGAATTTATTGTCATGATAATTTTTATAATTAAAAAAATTAAACTTGAATTTAAATGAGATTGCTAATTTGCTTTGAGTCTAGAACAAGAAGGCCAATGAAACATATCCTTTGAACTTATTATTACCAATCTCAAAAAAATATCTTCATGTTTTAAAAATAGATTTTTAAACAACTATTCTTTTCTAGAAAGATCTCTTAAATAAAGTTGGTAAAAATAGTTATTTATTCAAAACAAGACGAATTAAAATTTTGATCCGATTTAGTCCCTATTTGAATTTACATTTGGAGACTTGATTTGAGATTAATGTGATTTTATTAAAATCAATTTTTTCAAAATGTAGAAGTAATATTCACCGGCTTTTGCCAAAATTGATTTTTATATGAGAATTATGTGAAGATGAAGAATTTTAAACATGCATAAAGATGAAGGATCACGTTTTAGAAAGAAAAAAAACGTGCATTACCTTACCAGAACGTGCATCCAAATAAACTATTAGCGTTACATAAATCATAATTTTTTTAATAAAAAAAAGTAGTATTTGATAGTCCAACCAATTATTTAAAATAAATAAATGATTATTATTTGAACATGTATATTACACAAATTAAAATTTTATTTTATAACAAAAGTTTATCATAATTAAATAATAATTTTTAGAAAATTATATTATAATTAAAATTTATACAAACATTTTTAGCTATAGAAATTATATTTTAATTTTATGATAAAAAATTTATAATGTGACAAAAACTAATTTTAGTCACTCATAATTTAAAAAAAAAACATTGAAATTTGATTTAGAATTAAAATTAAAAGATATTAGAATTTAAATTTTTTTTCCTAAAAACACTATTGTTAAAAAAATAATTATAAATACTTTCATTGAACTAGAAAATTATTTTTAATTTATATAAAAATATAAAAAGGAAATTATTACGATAATTACTTTAAAAGAAATATTAAATTTTAAAAATAAAAATAATATTTTTACCAGGGATGAAAATAATATATTATTATGATTTTTTTTTAAAAGCATGATCTCATTTAAAAAAACGTTTTCATTCAAAAAAAAAATCTAGAAACACTATTTGAAATAATTAATTTAATTTATATAAGATAAATATTTTTTAATTTAATTTAAAATACATCTTAATTTTATATTTTTAAATATAATTAAAAGATATAGCTATTTCCAATCGATTTATGAGATAAATTTAAATAGTTTAAGCATCACATTATTTACTTTATGGGAATTAAATTTGATATACCACGCGGATAACGTGAAGGGTTTTTGGCCCAAGCCTGCTTAACTTAACGTCACAATAAGAAAAGTGGGTCATATGGAAGGATCTAGAAATGAAGTCGTCCCTATATAAGTAAAGAACCGTGGCAGAAGGATCTAGAAACCCTAGCAAACTCCACTATATAACCCCTCACTTCTCTTTTGTCACCTATTCTCATTTCCAAAACCCTAACCGTTTCCCTTTCATTTCTTCTTCTTCTTCCTCCTTTGAACTCCTTCTCGTAGATCGAAAATGGCGGAGACCGAGACGTTTGCGTTTCAGGCTGAGATCAACCAGCTTCTCAGTCTCATCATCAATACCTTCTACTCCAACAAGGAGATCTTCCTTCGTGAACTCATCAGTAACGCCTCCGATGTGAGTTTCTTCGCTATTCGCTTTTACACGTTCGCTTTTCTCTGCTTGATTTGTAGTTTCTTTGTGTTTTTCGATTTATTGGTTCAACTGTCATTCCTTGTGTTTTCTTTGTTTAGTTTTTTTTCTAGGTTAAGCTTAAGTTTAAATCGTTTATTAGATTTGTTGTTATGTTGATTCTGTGTGCTAGAGTTTTTTCTCTGATAACGTGGATTTGAATTTCATCAGCTGTCGTGCTCTTTTTCGGGATATAACGTAAATTTAAATCGTTAATTTTTTTACTCTGGGAAAGTGGATTTGAATTTCTTAAACTGACATGTTTTCTTTTCATTGTTTAATTTAGTTGTTTTTTTAGGTTTGGCGTAACCTGAAATCTTTAATAAGTTTTGTTGATTTTGTGTCTAGAGTTTTTGCTCTGATTAAGTGGATTAGGTGTGAGTTCCTTGTGGTTAGGTTGATTATTTTTAATTTGTTATATAGTTGATGTGGTTTATTGTTATGTTTCATATCGTTGTTTTGTTGGTGTTATACCCGTGCTATAATATTGATTAACATTAATTGTTAAGAAAAGCTGTTTTTGTGACGATGATGTTTTTTCAGGTTTTTACTGTGTGACTGTGTAATTAAAAGTATATCCGCCGGAAATTGGTTTTTTAACTATGTGATCTTCATTTAACATTGTAGGCTTTGGACAAGATTAGATTTGAGGGTTTGACAGACAAGAGCAAGCTCGATGCTCAGCCAGAGTTGTTTATTCATATTATTCCTGACAAAACCAACAACACTCTGTCCATTGTTGACAGTGGTATTGGGATGACCAAGGCTGGTAAGTTAAAATGGTTTGTGCTATTTGTAGGCTTTTGTTGTTGTGGTAGATAGCTGTTGATGGTGTCTAATTCATGTTGTGATGTTTTTTCAGATTTGGTGAACAACCTTGGTACAATTGCAAGGTCTGGTACCAAGGAATTTATGGAAGCCTTGGCTGCTGGTGCTGATGTTAGCATGATTGGACAATTTGGTGTTGGTTTCTACTCTGCATACCTTGTTGCGGAGAAGGTTATTGTTACCGCCAAGCACAATGATGATGAGCAGTATGTGTGGGAGTCTCAAGCTGGTGGTTCATTCACTGTCACAAGGGACACATCCGGTGAGAATCTTGGCAGGGGTACTAAGATAACTCTCCACCTTAAGGAGGATCAGCTTGAGTACCTTGAGGAGCGCCGCTTGAAGGACTTGATTAAGAAGCATTCCGAGTTCATTAGCTACCCAATTTCTCTTTGGGTTGAGAAGACTACTGAGAAGGAGATTTCTGATGACGAGGACGAGGAGGAAAAGAAGGAGGAAGAAAAGAAGGATGATGAGGAGGGTAAGGTAGAGGATGTTGACGAAGAGAAGGAGAAAGAGGAAAAAAAGAAAAAGAAGATTAAGGAGGTGTCTCATGAATGGTCCTTGGTGAACAAACAGAAGCCCATTTGGATGAGGAAGCCTGAGGAGATCACTAAAGAGGAATATGCTGCTTTCTACAAGAGTCTCACTAATGACTGGGAAGAGCATTTGGCTGTCAAGCACTTCTCAGTTGAGGGTCAATTGGAGTTCAAGGCCATTCTCTTTGTACCAAAGAGGGCACCTTTTGATCTCTTCGACACAAGGAAGAAGCCCAACAACATCAAGCTCTATGTTCGCCGTGTCTTCATCATGGACAACTGTGAGGAGTTGATCCCCGAATACCTCGGCTTTGTCAAGGGTATTGTGGACTCTGAGGATCTTCCACTCAACATTTCAAGAGAAATGTTGCAACAAAACAAGATCCTGAAGGTCATCCGTAAGAACTTGGTCAAGAAGTGCATTGAGCTCTTCTTCGAAATCGCTGAGAACAAGGAGGACTACAACAAGTTCTACGAGGCTTTCTCTAAGAACTTGAAGCTTGGAATCCATGAGGACTCTCAAAGCAAGGGGAAAATCGCTGAATTGCTTAGGTACCACTCCACCAAGAGCGGTGACGAGTTGACCAGCCTCAAGGACTACGTTACCAGAATGAAGGAAGGCCAGAGTGACATCTACTACATCACCGGTGAAAGCAAGAAAGCCGTTGAGAACTCTCCCTTCTTGGAGAAGCTGAAGAAGAAGGGCTACGAGGTTCTTTTCATGGTTGACGCCATTGATGAATATGCAGTAGGTCAGCTGAAGGAATTCGAGGGCAAGAAACTGGTATCCGCCACCAAGGAAGGTCTCAAGCTGGATGAAAGCGAGGATGAGAAGAAGAAGAAGGAAGAGTTGAAGGAGAAGTTCGACAACCTGTGCAAGGTGATCAAGGATGTTCTGGGCGACAAGGTGGAGAAGGTAGTTGTGTCCGACCGTGTGGTGGACTCACCATGCTGTCTTGTCACCGGGGAGTATGGGTGGACTGCGAACATGGAGAGGATCATGAAAGCTCAGGCACTGAGGGACAACAGCATGGCAGGGTACATGTCGAGCAAGAAGACAATGGAGATCAACCCAGAGAACCCTATAATGGAGGAGCTGAGGAAGCGTGCTGATGCTGACAAGAACGACAAGTCTGTGAAGGATCTTGTTCTGTTGCTGTTTGAGACTGCTCTGCTGACATCTGGATTCAGCCTTGACGACCCGAACACCTTTGGGAACAGGATCCACAGGATGTTGAAGCTTGGACTGAGCATCGACGAGGATGCTGGTGAGGCTGATGCTGACATGCCACCACTGGAGGAGGCTGATGCTGATGCAGATGCTGAGGGAAGCAAGATGGAGGAGGTTGACTAAACTTCATCTTCATGCCTTTTTATTTTGTTAGTACCAACTATTTATAATGCCGAGAAGCTTTTTACTTTTTTGCCTGTTTTTTTTTTCTTTTTTGGATTGTTGACACTGTTTAATGCATATTTTAGCTAATTAGCTATAATTTCCTGGATTTTATTTCGGGTTTTATTTTTTTCCAGTTGGATCTGTTTCCACAAATTTCTGATTTCACTCCCTAGGTTTAATTAGTGCTGTTATTGTTTGAAAGCCCTGAAATGGTAAAGATTTAATCAAATTTTTTCCGAATATTTCAAAGCCTCTTTTAGTAAAAGTATCATTCCAAATAGAAACACTTTTCTAAGAAACATTGAAAAAAAAAACTATGATTTATAGATGATATAAAGAAAGTGTTGCTATTTCCAAATAGAGTATTTAATAATAATAATAATAAAGGCATTTTTATTTTTCTTAAAAGATTTTTTTTTTAATTAAACGGGGCTTGACAGCCCTAATTAGAACTCACGATGAAAGTAAACAGCTGACTGCGAGTCACAGCTTTTAACTCAAACTGTCACTTCAAATTGTTGTATTATTTTATTTGAATCTGTTTTATAGGATTATTTTAGTTTTGGTACGTGTAGTGTTAGTTATTTCCCTCTTATTATCTATTTCAATAAATAAAAATTATAAGTTTTGTTATTTCACTATTGTGTTTCAAGTAAGTGTTAGTCACTTTCACTTCTCTCTTATTGACCTTTTTAATTAATAAAAAATGTTATTTAAAGACCCCACAAACCTAATACAAAAATTATTGTACTATTCTATTTCATATTTCCCTATTAACCCTTTCAATAAAGACAATTAATTTTTTCTGACACCATAAAGTCATAAATCATTAAATTTATGACAACCACCTATGCAATTATACATAATGAAGATGAATGTGACTCCAGGCCTTGTATTTGAAGCGCTAGAATAGTATGAATAAGAATTTAGTGTGTAGTGTGTACTGAATTTATGAAATATTAACAGTAGTTTAAAAAAATATATGGAGGTTCATAGAAAAGAAATATACATTTAAATTAAAAAAAATTAAAAAAAACTATCAATTAAAACATCATATATCAAATTGTCTTTATAAAAATAAAAAAATCATACAGGCATCACGTTTGTATTTAGTGTGTTTTATTTCAAAGTTGTCTTGCATTCCTGAAAATGAGCAGTGTTTTCTAATATTTTATTTTAAGATTATAATTTTTATTTTCTAACAGAATATTTTTAAGACAAAAAATTACCCATATTCTTGAAGAATGAGATAGGTAAGCTAATTGATTTCTTTTGCTCTTCATTTGCATAAATAAAACAAAAACATTACGTTTTTTTTTTTAAAAAAAATATTCAGAAATGCCTTTACCATAATTATACACTGTTACACTACAGTGAATTCAAAATAAATAAATAAATACACACCAGCTTCCAGATTTTTGTTCTTCTGTCCAGCCTAGCCTAACCGAAACTACGCAATTGAAATAAATCGTACAAATAAATGTTGAGATTAACATTGTGTTTGTGATGGCAGATAATTTGGGGAAACTAAACATTTACACGGAACCTGAGAAAAATTGATTCATAGAAACGAAATCGTAGAAATTATAATAATCAGAGTGACATTGTTCATGATAGCAGATAATTTGAGATTAAAATATCTGGAACCTAAACTAAATAAAAAATACATCGATTCATGATCAGTTTTCCTTCTTTTCCACTCGTGTTTCCCCATAAAAGTATGTAGTATACTAGTTTGGTTCTAAGTTTTGGATGTGATTTTCACCTTTAGTTATAACTTTAACATCTTAAACGAGATTCTTCCCTTCTCAAGGAAATCCCAAACACACTATACATAAAACTGATTGATGATCACGATAATGGGAAAGGAAAAATAAACTATAAATAATTTCCAAATATTTTGAAATCTTGACTATCATTATCAACCAATATATCATAACCCACAATTTGAAACAAACTTTACACAACCTTCCATCTTGCTTTTGAAATCCTAGTTTTGAAAAATGGGAACCAAACGTGTGTCTGGAAGTTTGAAGAAAAAATGAGAAAGTGAAACCCAGCAAATGAATCCACAAAACAAAATGTATTATTCAAAGATATAACCAATGTAAGGTAAGCAAGGCTATCTGCCATGCCCTTTTCTACACAAGAGGTGGCCCTGCTGCCCAAAGGAAGAAACCATAGCAGAAATTATCTTCAAGTATCGTCTACTTGTGAATGGAATACAAAGCTTGGGAATGTTGTGGTGATGTCCCTGCCCAAACACATTCAAAAGGATATCACAAGCGTATCAAAGGCAATGTACCATGCTAGTTCATATATGTTCTATGATCTACCGAAACCTGAACTTGGCTTAAGCATATATGCATATTTTTTTGGGTGAACTTAGGATATCCCCTAGCTAAGAACCAGAAAATAATCTCTCCAGATACTGAGATCCATTTAAGAAGTTAACTTCTTCCAACAATGGCTAGCATATATGCATATAGAGATTTAAGTTGACTCATTTTGAGTTCAAAGTTAGTATTCGTTTTTGGGACACTTTTCAAAAATTAAAATAAATAGAAAAAGCAAGTAGTTGTCCTTTAATATAGAGATATTTCTAATTTATACCTTTTATTTTTGTAGATTAATTCATAGAATACTAATACCATGTGCAGTTAACAAAGATTGGACCAAGTGCAGTTATAAACAAGGATGTTATTTGGTTATCTTCACTATGGAGAGAGTACCACAAAAATTGACTAGAAAAATATAAAATCAAGAATTACTTGAGATATTGAAGGGTCATGTTCTTCAAAAGTGATGGATGGCGCAAAACAAGGTTTCTCCACTCTTCCTTGTCAATCTTGCCATCATGCTTTGTATCTGCTTCCTCAAAGGTCTGAAGAAATCCAAAATTTAATGTTGAAACTATCCAAGCGAGTTTTCAAGAGAAAATGAGACTCAAAAGACTCCTTTGCACAGTTAGAAATGTGAGTGATAGAAGAATGGTGTAGCACCTTGTCAATTATACTCTCTATAACATCATCTGATAGGTTCATGCCAGATTCAGCAAGTGTGGCAACTACCATTTGCTTCACCTATATAAAAAGCCATACAAAAATCAGACTCGTCTCAACCAAGGAGCAAAATATTCATAATTAAATCAAAGAAGACCAAGTACCTCTTGCCTTTCAATAAAACCCTGCTGCTTGAGATCATACAGTTGAAACGAAACTGAAACATGATATCATGAGTTTAATTTTTTATTATTTAAAAAAGGTCTTTTAAGATAATTAAATTCTTGATTCCAATTGTGCATTGTTCTTAAATTTAAAAGCTGAATGTAAATCCATGCTAAAATAATAATTGTAGAAAAACATCATGTACAACATACATTCAATCTTATCATCAATAGGGGCATTTGGATGGAAAACGGAGAGAGCACGAGCAAACTCTTCAAAACCCAGTATACCATTGTGCTTTGTGTCAAATAAATCAAATACCTAATAGAGTTAGAGAGAAGTCCGTATGAGATAACAACCACCAGGATTAATATGAATGAATCATTGAACAAGTTACAAAACAAGAAACAAATATAATGTAGAACTAGTATTTAAGCTAGTAAAGAAATTGAATATTCTTGATCTTGAAAATGATAGCGAACATGTGAAAAATATTAAGCCAGAGGCTGTATCCATTGAGTACATATATTACCTCTGGAGGTAAATTAATTATTTCATATCCTATAAAATGTCATTGTTTTCTTTCTCATTTCAATTCTTGGCTTCTAACAATGGCCCGACTTTTTGGATCTTCGAGGGAGAGCCAGTGTTAGAGATGGAGGAAGTGCATATTTGGGTTGGGACAAGAAGGGGGACCTGCCAGCATTTTTGGGGGAAGCCCCAATTGGTTGGATTGTTAGAGCTGAAAAATTCTTTAGGGTAAAACATATTCATTCATTCCATAAGTTACAACATGCATTCATGAGAATAGAGGGTGTGGCAATGCATTGGTTCTACTTTTGGAGCCAAAAGAACTCAGATTCAAAATAGCAGTCATTCTCCACATCTTTGATCAGAAGATTCTTGAAGCATGAAAAAAGAAGGGAAAACGAAAGTTTGGAAATTAAGAACTGTGGTGACAAAAAATTTGAGACTAAGATGAGACGTGATGGGGTTTCAAAGATCAAGAAATGTCAACTAGATCACAACACAACATGTGGGAAAAAGGATAAGCTTCAAGGGACATTTGATCACCTATTGCAAAAACAAAGCTTGACAAAAGACAATGGGACCAACAACACAATTATTGAGAAATTAAAGAAGAGTAGAAAGCTCTGAAGGCAATGGGTTAGATTGTGGAGGTGACTTGACACATTCTTCAAAAAAGGAAGTGGAGTAAACTGCCTTTGATGGAAGCATAGAAGGGGGAATTGGCTCAAATGGTAGCAATTTTAAGGGTGATGGTGATCCATTGCAATTCTTGAAATCAAGAAACAAAATAATGTTCAGTAATCAAGAACCACACCCTTTGTGATGGAGAAGTGATGAAAAACCAAAATTAGGACCAATTAGCATCAATCTCAATCAAATTTGCTGAACAAGATTAAGAAAAATTAGGGAAAACAAAGAAAAAGTGGAACTGTGGTAAGAAATGTAAAGAACAATGCCACAATCTTTAAAGGATTGATAAATTGAAGAGGATTAACCACAAAAAAATAAGAATTCTTTGATAAGAACAAAGGGTTCTGTTAGAATAGCTTGTTTAGAAAGCTTCTTCTTATTTAAATATTTATTGTATTTTTCTGATTGGTCTTTTTCTCGTGATGTAATTGCTTAGGCTTCTAGACTCTGTAGCCTTTTTCTTCTTGTAACCCTAATCACAATATACAGATCAGTAAATCTGATCCTTTTTGGCCATTCTTATTCAATATTCAAGTTGGTATCAGAGCGGGATCGATCCCGCTCTGCCGTCCGCCGCTGTCCGCCGCCGTCCGCCGCCGTCTGTTACTCCTGCGAACCTAGGGTTCGGTGCGCCTTGTCAAGCGCGACCTAACCCCATCAACTCCGGCATTGTCAGAGTCTCCACGCGCTCTCACGCGCCGTTTCTCTCTCCAGTTCTGTCAAGCGCGTACTGTTCACGCGCCGCTCTCTGTTCGTTGGAACCTCCTCATTCTACCACCGTCTTGTTCGTGGAGCCTCCTGAGCCTATTTCTGGACTCAGTTTTGTGATTTGACCACTATTTAAGGTGTGGGCCTGCGTCTCTCTTCTTCGGTTCTTCTCTCTTTATTCCTGTTGCACGACCCATCCTCTTATGGCATCTCCAGGCCCTATTTTGTCTATTTCTGGTACTCCGACCATAACCACGGAGAAACTCAATGGAAAAAATTATTTATCATGGGCTGCCTCTGTGGAACAAAAAGAAAAATAGTACAAGACACACTCCACTCACAATATGCCTCCTTACCCACTCATGTGTTGCCACTTGTCTCTCTATTTTTGACTCCTTATATGTGCTGCATTTTTAATACCCACAAGTGTAAGAACCAAGCAACATTTTAAAAGAAAATAGAAACAAAATCTGAACAGAAAAATTTAAAAAAAAAACCGTGACCAAAAGACAAAAGAAAATAGACTTCTGGACATTGACTTAATTACCCTTGCACATTGGAGTTGGACTTAAACTGAATTTTTGGACCTTATTGAGACACAAAACCGTGGCTGGACCTTTACAAAAAAGGACTTAAAATTCACAAGTGCAAACCATTAAAATTTTAACTCTATTCTAGTGTCATTCTAGGACTTTCCCTTTGAGTGCTAGCCTTTTTAATGTGTCTTAATTTTTGCTTGTCTTCTTTGGAACTCTTATGTTTGTCTCATTAATCTCTCATTGAGTTTAGCCTTTTTAATTGAGCATTTTCCCATGGTGGAAGGAGTCCATCATTTGGTATCATGAGCTTTGGTTGTCTTCAAGGGTAACTAAAATTTTCTCCTTTCTTTGAGTCACTATATTTTTGGTCATGATTTACGTCTTCCTTGGTGTCTTATTGTCTTCCATGAAAAATTTGCTATAAATGTCTTCTTATGTTGTTCTATGGTTCATTACTTGTTCATGAGCCTCCTTTGGTGCTTTAGGGTTTTTCTTGAGTCTTAGGTTCTTGTATGCCATTTTTTGTTTCTTATCCTTAAGTGCTGGAAAAATATTTCAAGAACATGAAGAACATCTCTTGCATCTCTTTTTGATCCTTTTACCTTTTAAGTTTTGTCAAAAGTTGTGTTTCTCTCACCCACCTCAAAAAAGACAAAAATATACATGTATGATGCACCCATTTGATGTATGAGAAAATGAAAAATTTGTGATGCATGTGTTTTTCCATGAGCTGGCCGAATATTCCCTGCACTATTTAGAGGTCATTCATGCATGTTAATTAGTCCTTGGCATGCTCCAAATTTGTGTTGAAATCTATGTGTGATTTGCTTCTTACACATACATGATTGGCCACCTTTTCATGATCATCATTGCATGATTATTCCTTTGTCCTTTGTGCACATGTGTGAGTGATAAAATCTTGTGTGTGAGTGCTGGAATCTTTGACAAAAATCTTCACAAAAAGAAAAATAGTACAAGACACACTCCACTCACAATATGCCTCCTTACCCACTCATGTGTTGCCACTTGTCTCTCTATTTTTGACTCCTTATATGTGCTGCATTTTTAATACCCACAAGTGTAAGAACCAAGCAACATTTTAAAAGAAAATAGAAACAAAATCTGAACAGAAAAATTTAAAAAAAAAACCGTGACCAAAAGACAAAAGAAAATAGACTTCTGGACATTGACTTAATTACCCTTGCACATTGGAGTTGGACTTAAACTGAATTTTTGGACCTTATTGAGACACAAAACCGTGGCTGGACCTTTACAAAAAAGGACTTAAAATTCACAAGTGCAAACCATTAAAATTTTAACTCTATTCTAGTGTCATTCTAGGACTTTCCCTTTGAGTGCTAGCCTTTTTAATGTGTCTTAATTTTTGCTTGTCTTCTTTGGAACTCTTATGTTTGTCTCATTAATCTCTCATTGAGTTTAGCCTTTTTAATTGAGCATTTTCAATTTTATTTCCTTTGGCCTCCTTCTTGTTCTTGGTTGGTTTGTTATCTTTGGGTGTAGGTGAAGTACTACCTCCAAAAACCTTAGCAAAATTTCTTTGGGGGATTGAGTGGAGATTGAGATCACCTCTGGAGATTAAAGATTTTGATGATAACAAATGTGTGGAACAAAGCTGACCAAGGACATCAACAACTTAGAAGTCAAAAACAAAGTCAAAGAAAAATGTTATGTAATAGGAGTAGCTTATAAATTGCTTTGATTGAGTTTATTTGGTTTGTGTGTGCTTTGTGCTTTGGCTAATCTGTATCTAATCTAATTAGGAGTGTGTATGATGATGAGTTTAAAAGGTTAAAAAGTTATTTTGAGACTTAAAATAGAGTTTTGAAAACTAACTCAAAATAATCGATTATCATTAAATATAATCGATTATTCCAGCAACAAGCCATGTCATCCATGTGGCCGTCCCCTTCTAGATGCTTAATTACATTTAGGATGCATTTAGGGTTCATTTTTTTAGTCAATGTGCAGCCACCCTTGGCACAAAACATGTGACTCAAACGCAACCCTAATGACTCTTAAATGTAATTAACATCTTAATCATCCATGCCTATTATGTCTTCCCTTAAAATGCCTAGTCTAATGGCCTAAATATAATGGCAAATCAAATACTTTTGCTTAAATGCAGGCTCTGGAGCATAGTGGTACATGGGAGTTAGTTCCCCTCCCTCCTGGGAAACGACCAATTGGGTGCCGATGGGTCTATGCTATTAAAGTTGGCCCTGATGGTACAGTTGATCGGCTCAAAGCCAGATTGGTGGCCAAGGGTATACTCAAATTTATGGGCTCGATTATAGTGACACTTTCTCTCCTGTGGCCAAGCTTCCTACTGTTCGTCTCTTTCTTGCTATGGCAGCCATTCGTCATTGGCCTCTTCACCAATTAGACATTAAAAATGCCTTTCTTCATGGTGAGTTGGAGGAGGAGATTTACATGGAGCAACCTCCTGGATTTGTTGCTCAGGGGGAGTCTGGTTTAGTTTGTAAATTGAGAAGATCTCTTTATGGCCTCAAACAATCCCCTCGAACTTGGTTTGGAAAATTTAGTCATGTTGTACAAGACTTTGGGCTTAAAAGAAGCGAAGCAGATCACTCAGTTTTCTATTGTCATACTTCTCCTGGGAGATGTGTTTATTTGATTGTTTATGTGGATGACATAGTGATTACTGGAAACGATGTAGCTACAATTTCTCAATTGAAGAAACATTTGTTTAGCCATTTTCAGACCAAATATCTGGGACATCTAAAATATTTTCTTGGTATTGAAGTTGCCCAATCAAAGGAAGGCATTGTGATCTCTCAAAGGAAGTATGCTTTGGACATTTTGGAGGAAACAGGCATGACAGATTGCAGACCCATTGATAGTCCTATGATCCTAACCAAAAGTTAATGACTTATCAAGGTGAACCATTCAGAGAGCCAGAAAGGTATAGGAGATTGGTTGGGAAACTCATTTATCTTACAATCACGAGACCTGATCTCTCTTTTGCAGTAGGGGTTGTTAGTCAGTTCATGCAGGCTCCTCATATTGATCATTGGAATGTTGTTCTGCGTATCCTTAGATATATCAAAAAGGCTCTAGAACAAGGATTACTATATGAGGACAAAGGAGATAATCGAATTTCTGGATACTGTGATGTTGATTGGGCAGGATGTCCTATAGATAGGCGTTCTACTACTGGATATTGTGTATTCCTTGGTGGAAATCTCATTTCTTGGAAGAGTAAGAAACAAAATGTTGTTGCTCGATCTAGTGCTGAAGCTGAATATCGAGCTATGGCCTTGATTACTTGTGAATTTATATGGATTAAGCAACTCATTCAAGAGTTAAGATTTTGTGAGAATCATCCAATGAAATTGTATTGTGATAATCAAGCCGCTCTTCACATTGCTTCCAATCTAGTATTTCATGAGAGAACCAAGCACATAGAGGTTGATTGTCATTTTGTGAGAGAAAAGTTGTTGTCCAAGGAAATCATTACTGAATTTGTCAATTCCAGTGAACAACTTGCAGATGTTATGTCTAAGTCATTAAGGGGGCCTCGAATTCAATTTTTATGTTCCAAGCTTGGTTCATACAATCTGTATGCACCAGCTTGAGGGGGAGTGTTAGAATAGCTTGTTTAGAAAGCTTCTTCTTATTTAAATATTTATTGTATTTTTCTGATTGGTCTTTTTTCTCGTGATGTAATTGCTTAGGCTTCTAAACTCTGTAGCCTACTCTGTAGCCTTTTTCTTCTTGTAACCCTAATCACTCTTTATATAAGGAAAATATACAGATCAGTAAATCTGATCCTTTTTGGCCATTCTTATTCAATATTCAAGTACACAAGGACTTAAAAGAAATTCTCTCAATAGCCAAGGGCTATTCTATTCAAAATGAGTAAAAACTAATTGCAATGTCAGCATTTAGCCTATTTATACAATATAGACCTAAAAATCACTAAGGCCTATTCCTGAGAGGCATTAAAGGTCCAACTAAACAAGCACTAGTAAATGCCCAAAATTACAATGATTAAAAAATATATAAAAGCCATGAGGCCTATTACAAAAATTACACAATATTCCTAATCTAAAATAAAAGCTTGAAGCCTCCTCCTTAGTCCTTTATCAAGAAGAAACAAAAAGTGATGAAGAAAAATTAGCAAGAAAAACAGGGATTGAAAAAGTTATAATGAAGGAATAAGTGATCTGTCGATAAAGGGAGAGAAATTCAAGGAAAACAGAGTGAAGAATGTGGGAAGTGAAGAACGATTTTTTGATAATCCAATAGCTAAGTTGATCAAGAAGGAAAACAGGTGGAGATATGCAACCAAGGTTCATTGTTTTCAAAGTCCAGATTTCTAGAAAAAGATTTTTGTGATGAAACAATAATCATTGTTGGACCCAGATTCCATCATGAAGGTGGATGGAACATCAATGGCATTGGAATCTTGTAATTTAGACTTACTAACTGAGCCTATATCATGAAAAATTGTTGCATCTATGGATGGCAGCACGACTTGGAGCCAAGGCAGAAGGAATGACCAGATGAAGTCATGGTGATTCATGTTATACAGAGTCCACTCTTGTCCTCTCTACCACTAAAGCCACCAGACCTGAGTTTGCATGTAGTGGCCAGTGGGCTGAGGGGCTCATCGTACAACCTCCATGGATGCACAGCAAAGAGAAGTCCATGGATGCACAACAAAGAGAAGCATCCTATTAGAGCAAATGATTCGGCTATGAAGAATGATAAAGAGGAAGGCGCAAATTTAGTATTCTACAATGCAGGTCCAATGTTTTACTTAATTGGCAAAAACACCCAAACTTATGGAAAAAGCACTACAAGGTTGAAATACATGATGGGTCATTTGCACGCTCAATCAAACGGGTGCAGTAGTCTTCCAGCATTCAGAAAAATTATTTATCATATCATAAGAACCTTTGTTATTAGTTCTTTGGGGTGTTGATTTGCTATGGTCCCAAGTAGAACATGTTTTGATATGCCACTATTTTCAATTTTTAGATTCCAACATTGAGGACAAGGTTGATTTTTGGGAAGGGTGGTATTGTTAGGATATAAGGGAGTTAGAGTTACTTATTAGAGGGATATCATGGGCAAGACCCATCATATCCACAAATAGGAGGATACTAGGTAGAGGGGAGCCCTTCAAATTAGTAAGTTTGTGGAAATAGAGCAGAGGCTCTGTTGTAAAAGGGGGAAACCCTTGGAGGAGGGATTCCTCTCCTATCTCATGTTCTTTTCATTCTATTCAATAAAATCTCTCTTTTTTTTTTCATTTCAATTCTTGGTTCCTAACACATACAGACCCACACTTACCTACTTTTTAAACTTATAGTCCATTCAAGGTACAAAGCTTAACATAACTTTTTGAATTCTAATGTTCGCTGAACTATTCAAGCTACTATAGATAAACAAACATGTAGTAGAAAGCATATACAATTATACATGCACCAATAATAAATTTAAATCCTTCCAGGAATGCCCACAAAGGCACAAAATAACCAGATGCCTGAATTTCAATCCAAAACCCAAATAGAGAAGAAAGATCATAATAGAAAGTATCTTCAGATGTATAAAGCACAACCTGAACTATCAAAATAGTCTTCAAAAAAAAAATTAGAAATGCATTTGACCAGACAAGGTCATTGCTATAGTTGTCGAACTGCTAAAAAAGCTGCCTGGGAAGATCACATCCAATAATGACCAATAAAAGAGAACAAAACAAAATTTCAGTCATCAAGCATCTGACAGGAAGCCTATTTTTTTGGTGACATTGACCTGATGATTATAGACAGAGATTTCAATGCTTCGAAGTAAAGATACTTGCTCAAAAAAACAGTAACAAGAGAGGAAAGACATACCCGATCTGCAAACAAACTTTCTTTTTTATTTGTCTTGAACAATGCCAACTGAAACTCTTCCTGCAAATGATATCTAAAATTGGATATAACTTCTGATAGATTTTCGAAAACTAGATGCTTCAAAATGAAGAAAATGAAAAAATAGGAGAAGAATAGAATTTGCGATATAGATACAGAATGATAAATAAAACTTAAAATGAGAGATATTTTCTTTTGTTGTTGAAAAAGGCTCAACTAATGAAATATGTTATGCCCAAAACACAATTTTTCAATGGCAAATCAGACAAACCTTGTTAATCAGCCCATCATCGATTACAGCACTGCTGATCTTTTTGAAGAGCTCATAAAGTGCTTCTATTTCACTTACACTGACTGCAAATACAAGCAAAATAAATATCTATCTTCGGTACAAACATTACAAATTTATTTCCTAGCAGCAGTATTAGAGGTAATAGAATCCAGCAATACAAACATGATAATCACATTTTCTAAACAGTTGCTTTCCTTTTCTCAATCATCAGTCGTCGCCACTAATTAAATTATCTAAAAAAATTTGATGGAATAACACAAGATACAGGATTTCAGAATTGCATATTCTAAACCAAGCACATAGGTTGAAAAATCAAAATTAATTTGTAATCTAATGATGTAAGAACAAAATTGACAATTAATGAATCATGAGCATAAAGTAAGGTTAAGTGCATACACACTGTCTCTCTAGCAAGAAGTTCAGGATCTTCAAGGCCTCTTGGCTGGTTATATATATCCAGGTCACAACATCTTAATATGGAAGAAAATAAAGGCTTAAATCCCTCTAAGCACTGCAACATGATATCTTTTGCAAATCAGAGCACTTCATAACTGTTCCAAGAAAAAATCAGTCAGACATTGCATTTAGCCCATTCCTCATAAAGTCATCATAAGTGGGCACAAGGCAAGTACCTTTTAACCATTTCCAACTCCAGGTCACCAATCCCAAATGGCAAGATCTGTAAAATTTGAAAGGCAACAATGGGGAAAAGAAATATGATTTCAGAATTGAAACCTAATATCCATAACATTCTGATATTAGAAGGTACTCAAATTGAAAACACAGCAACATTACTAGTTCCATATTATAACCCTAACCACAAGCAGAAATAATTTGAAAGTTCTTATCACACAACATACTAAAAGTATCAGCATTCAAGAGGCTAAATTGTGCATTTCTTTCTTCCTTTCACTTTGAATCACGTGATATTGTACATATAAATTTACATTTCAATGATGTCTAGTATGCACATCTATCAGACACTCCTTAAACTTGTTCCAAAATGTTTGGTTGTTGAAGTGATTTTGCCGCATGAAACTATTAAGTGTATGTTTAGATTTCTGTTCGAGAAGCTTCAAACGGACAATCCCGATTTCCAAAGCACAAAATGGAGAAGCAAGTGTGAGGTATCTTTTAGATGAACGTACGTTCACGTTTAGACCAACGCTTACACAAACACACCCTAAATATTTGAGAAACTAACAAGGCTTAAGAAACTCAAGACAGAATCATACATAAAACAACCCAACAACAAAAATAGAAACACCAAACAAGCCTTATTCCACAAGATTGGGAGATGCTACATTGGCCATATCAAAACCCAAATTTCCAATAAATCCATAATCTTAAAAACCCACAAAAATTACAAATAATCATAAACTCGGATCCATGATCCCACATCCAGCCTCACAAAACCTGCCAAAATCGTCCCGGAGCAACACCAGATTCAAATTTCAACACCCCCCACACAAAAAAAATATATAACTTTACAAACTCTAAAGCCAATCAGATTCTGAATTCTAGGCAATTCAGTGTTCCCATGTCCATCAACTCACACGCAAGAAAAACCCATCGATCTTTGTGAACCAGCAACAAATCAACACACACACACACACACACACACACACACACACAAAAAAAAAAAAAAGGAACGGAATTTAAAATTAAAAAAAAAACTCAAGAACCCCACATCAAAACATGCGATAAAATCACGTTGTGCAGACTCATCTAAGATTGAAAAGCAATTAACGAAGTGGGTAGGGAGAAAAATCAAACCTTGGAGGCAGAAGATCGGGCAAGAGTGTGGAACAGTTGAAGAAATTGGAGTTCGGAGTAGTGAAGGCTTAGGTTATGAATTAATGGAATTTCTGGAATTAAGATGATTGTGACGAATCTATTTGTGAAGGTGACGAAAGTGATATGGGTCGATGACAGATAGAGTACAACCCACAACGACCTCTTCACATTATATATATCAAATCTTAATTCATTCATTTCAATTTTACAGATCATAACTTTCTAGCTTAAAAATTCACTAATTTAATCAAAATTATTAACCACTTTCCTCACTTTTTATGAGTTTCCTAATGTGCTATTTAAGAATTCTCAACTTAGTTTCTATAAATATTTTCGCATTTGTATTTTACGTATTAAATATTAATTATCTATGAGAATCTTTTATTAAGAATAAAAATAAATTAAGTCAAATTTTAAATATATAGATTGAATTTATTTTGTAAAACTTAAATTTAATTTATTATTTATCATAAAAAATTTAAGTTTAATCTAATTTTTTATTTTATTTAAAAATTTATTTTATATTAAAAATATTAAATAGATTAATAAATTTAATTTAAATAAGTTAACAAATTTATTTTTAATTGTGTAAAAAAAATTAATTTTTGTGATAAAAAATAATTTACTCTATTATTATTAAAATTTAAAATTTAAAATAAAAATTAATGTTAGACAACTCGTGTAAATTAATATACAAGTGTAAATGAAAAAAGATTATTTTATCAAAAAAATTCTATTTTTTTTTTTATATTTTATTTGAAATATTTTAAATAAATAATTATGAAAATGAATTAAAAAAAAGTATGTGTCTGCTTAGATTTTCAATTTTTTATTTTTTTATTTCATATGAACAACAAATTAAAATGTTTTATTAAGTAAGTTAATGAAAATGTCAAAAATATTAATAAATTGATTTTGTATTATAAATTTATTTATTTAATTATATTATTAAAAATATAATATGTATATTATTTTTATTATATTATATAGATTAAATAAGAAACTTCAAGTGTGTGATTCAGCGGTAGGGGTTTATCCACGCTTAAGCAAGGTCAGGGGTTCAAATCCTATCTCGTATATGCAGCTGCGTTAAATCTTTGGACCAGTTATCCCACCCTTTGAGATGTCTCTAACGTAGCGAGGAGATTAGTCACTACTATCGGCCCTAGATACTCCAGAGACGAACCAAAAAAAAATATAGATAAATAAGTTGATTTATTACTTTAATAAACTTTTTTATAAGTCTAAATTTAATATTTTTAAAAGTATAAATTTGACAATTTTAATTGTGAGACCCGCTCCTCTCCCCCCTCCCTCTCAACATTCCCATTTCTCCTTCCTCTCTTTTTCCTTAGATTCCATTTCTCAAGCTACTCGGTGATTGTAAGTGCTAAGTGAAGGGCCAGGAGCTAGCTAAGAGCACCGGTTTCTTCTTCCCTTTCTGCATTTCTCTTCTCCTTCTCCTCTTCCCCCGGGTGCTCGGATTCTTCTTCTCCGAGGTAAGGGAAGTTAGGTTTCGTGCAGATTTCTTGTAAATGGATTTAGTAACTCAAGTAAATTCAGAAGATTGATGGTCAGATTTGAAGAGTTGTTCATTTTCGAGGTTTCGAGAAAATTGGGGAAAATAGTGGGTGATTTTGATGCGTTTGATGGTTGCATGTTGAAATACAGCTTGTTTTCGAGTTGTATGATGTAAATGTAGTTCATTTCATGGATTGCATGTGTTTGAGTTGGTTGATTTGCAGATTTTTGTGTGAAATTTTGAAGTTTTTGGGTTGACTGTTTGAGGTTGCACCAGGCGCAGTTGTTGGCGTCGAGCATGTGTTCATCAGAGGCCACCATTGTCTTTTCACGCCAAACGCAAAAGCTAGTTGCGCCGGGCGTGATTTGAAATGGGGAATCCCTGGGTGAATCATGCCGGGCGTGGAAAGAACCACGTCGGGTGCACTATCAGACGTGAGTCTTGTGTTTTCTTACTGATATGGTGTTGGGCGTGATCGGAGCACGCCAAGCGTGGAGACCCATTGTGAGTCTCTGGTTGAGTTTGCGCCGAGCGTGATTTTAATGCGTTGGGCGTGAGTATATTGGTCTTTTAATCTTCATGAAAGTTGTAGCCTTGGATGTTAGCTTTCCAATGGCGCTAAAATCACCCAAAAAAGAGGTCTAAAACTCCATATATGGCTGTTTTAGTGAAGAGGGGTCAAGCTGCCAGCATTAGTTATAGTTGTTGCCGGTTTTAGAATTTTTAACAAGGTAGATGAAGGAATTAGGACTTGGTGTCTTCATGAGAGTTGTAGGAAATCTTCTTATCTTTCATATGAGATAAGGATGAGCATGATAGGAGTAGTATAACTCCCAATATGTTGTTTTATGTAAAGGTTGCCATTTCATAAGGAGTGATTTGGATAAGTTGAAGGCTGTCTTGGGTGCGTAGGTTAATTCGTGTTGTATATGTTGTGTAGGTTGGCATGATAGATGAGTTGTAAACATGATGGGTGAGTTGTATTATGCTGTTAATGATGTTAAGTTGAGTTGTGTTGTATGTTGTTTATGTTGTTAATGATGTTAAGCTGAACTGTGTTGTATGTTGTTTATGCTGTTAATGATGTTAAGTTGAGTTGTGTTGTATGTTGTTTATGCTGTTAAAGATGTTAAGTTGAGTTGTGATGTATGTTGATTAAGCTGATTAAGCTGTAATGATGAGTTGTTGATCACTAGGACTAGAGGAGATGTTTTCGAAGTTGTTAATCACATTGTGTGGATTGAGAAAGCTGTGGTGTTTAGAGAGTCCAAATTGTTGAAAACCCTCCTTAGGAAGTTGTCCCCTGGAGTGGTCATTGTTTTGTTCTCCTCTAGCACTTAGTTGGTCCCGTGTATGGGCAAGGTCGAGGCACACGTGTACAAAGCGACCACGGAATAGGGGCCAGGTCAAGCTATATCGATTACAAGCGGTCAATCGAGTAAAGTATGAAGTCGGGAACTTAGTTCTTAACTGAGTATCGGAAGGTTGTGGTATTTGGAGGATAGTCGGTAGGCTAATTCCATAGGCGGCTTAGTTAAGCTAGCTAATGTCGTGGTAGGCCTAAAACCCAGTTGTTCTATCTTGACATAGTATTATACTGTATTATACTTCCTTGTTAAGAGGCAAGGTATGAGAAATCGTGAAGTTGTGGATTGATATCCAAATTTGTTGTTTACCTAGCAAACCTAAAAAGGTTCTTTACTATCGATTCGGTAGGACCTAGCCACTTAAACTGCTCACCCATATTGTAGGAGATCTCTAAGTTGAAATGCGTGATGACGCATAAGCTGTTTGATGTTGATTTTGTTGATTGATATGAGTTGTATGTGTGCAGTGTGTTGTGTAGCTGAGATGTAGTTGTATGTTGTTATGTACTATATGTTAAATCTATTAAGACTGATGATATGCTGTTAAGTTGAAAGTTGTTTATAATTTAATTATATGCTGATTCTTTTCACTAGCTTACCCTTGCCTGTTTCCATGTGGGTTGGACTGATCAAACTATGTATGGGAGCAAAGCAGGGATAGGCTGGAGTGTAGTAGCAGGGCTATAGGTGACAGTAGGAGCAAACTTTTTGTTTATGGGCTACTTGGTGTAGCTATTTTGAAGTTTTGGATTTACTGACTTGTTAGGCCCCAGGCTAGACTTATGTATATATAATTACTTTTTATATGCATACTCTATTATGTGTGGTGACGTTTTGTTGTGTGACGGCTAGGCGGGTCGTTACATTAATAAATAGGTTAGACAAATTGGATCATAAGTCTTTATTTCAAATTTGACATATTTTCATTTCTACTCTTAACTTAGTAATTGCAAGGTTTATCTTAAGACATAGGAATCAATCTAACACTTCCATTATCAATTCATAATGTTAAGATAATATTTGATAAGTTAAAGTCATATTTCATGATGCAACTTAATCTTTGATTAACTTTTGGTATACAGTGTGGATTATGTATATTAACTAAAAAAATTATATAAATAGATATTTTTAAACATAAAAGATATATTTTATATGCATAAAAAATTATATTGTCACAATTAATTATAATTTTCCATATTTATTTTAAAATTTTATTTTTAATTTAGAATATATATACATGTGTGTGATAAATACAAATTTATATAGTTAACAAATTAAAAATTTTCTAAAAACCTTCACATTAAATAAAAGTCTCTAAAACCCATGATAACTATTTGTATTTAACGGGTGTATTTGATTAAAATTTTAAAAAATCTTAAAAGATTTTTTTTAGATAGGCAATATTTTTTTAGACTTTTTAAAGTCTATATAAAAAAAAGGTAATGTGATATTCAATTAAGATAATTAATAATTTTTTTAAAAAAGTACATCAAAATTTAATGGTATTAGATTAAAGGCAATCAAGAATTTTTTTAAAAGTTCATCAAATTTTGGTGATATTCAATTAAAAAAAATTTCCCTTAAAAAAAGTTTGTTAGTATTAGAAATATAGAGATTTTAGTAGATTATTTTGAATGATAGATTTTGTAAGACTTTTAAATTTTAATAGAATTTACACATAATTTATTTACCTAACAAACTTAGCAAAACTTTTGAGATTTTGCATGACTTATTTTTTTGTTTCTCTTTTTTTTTTAATAGAAATCACATTTATTTTTATCTTTTTTATAAAAAAAAACTTTTAAAATAAGTTAAATTGGTTAAATGTATGTTATAAGGTATGTTTGGTAAGACTAGTTTATAAGATAGATAAAAACTTATAAATTAGTTGAAGACTCATAAGTTACTATATTTGTTATGATATATAAGACGTTTCTTCACTTTTTTGTTTGTTCCTTTCGATAAAATCCTCTTTAGATTGTTAATTATATTAATGAATTTTTATCTAAAATATTCTTATTTAATTAACAATTTTTATGAGCAAAAGATAATAAATGTTTGAATGGATAAAAAACTTTTTTTCTCTTATTAGGATTGAAGAAGATAAAGATATTTCTTTCTTTCAAACTTCAATTAATTATGTAAGAAAATGATTAAATAGAAAAGATATTAAGAGTAGTTTTAAAAAGTATTTTAAATTATTGACAAATTTAATAATTTTAACTAAATTAACCAGATTGTCAAAAATAATTGAATTAACCAATTTTCTTAAAAGGTATAA